CGACGCACTATAAATTTAAAATAACCGTTAAATTAAAAATTCACAAATAATAAAAAAGTATAATTTAGATATCGTTTATTTTATTAATTTGAGTTTAAAATTTGAGTAAAAAATTTAAAAAAACAGTCACATTTAATTTTTTTATTATAATAAAATTTTTTTACATAAAATCACATATAAATTCAAATTAAAAACTCAAATCACCAACTAAAATCCTTAATTAACATTTGGTGCTGTCACAAAAAAAACTATAACTGTACGTATGTCTAATAATGTAATCCAGCAAAAGGGCAAAAAAAAAAAAAAAAAAAAGAGAAAAATCTAAAACTAAAAACATAATCCATTTTTCTTAAAAAGAAAAAAGAAAAATGGAAGATAAATTTGAACAACAAAAGAATTTAATATTTGGAGAAGGTGGGAAGGTGGTGGAGTTGCTGGTGGTGAGGTTTGAGATTGATATTGGTGAGTCCTCCTAGTGACTGGTGAGTGAGTTTTAATGCAAAAAGGGCTTTTTTTTTTTAATGAGATTCTCAGTTCAGTCTTAACACCAAAAGCCAAGAAGACCCCCCCAAAATCCAATTGATTAGGAGAGAGAGAGAGAGAGAGGAAGAAGTAAGAAGAAGAAGAAGATGAAGAAGAAGTAAGAAGAAGAAGAAGAAGAAGACACATGCACAGTTCAAAGTCTACAACGATTCCCATTTCTTGTTCATCCACGCTTTACTAAGTCCCAAAGGGTCTCTCTTTTTCCCCAGAGGTCTTTCTCCCTACTTTTCTTGCCTTTTTCTCTTACTGGGATTGCTTTTACTATTTATTTTTAATCCATCTTATTTTTATGGGGTATTTTATTTTATTTTATTTATTTCCTCTTCATTTTCGTTTTCCGCAACTTTATTTGGAAATCACTCTGTGGAGTGGAAGAGTGTTATTGCATGTGCAGCTTAAGACGGTAAAGCTGATTTTTTTTTTTTTTTTTTTAAGTCTTCTTAGGGTCTAAATTATGATGGGTTTTTATCTTTGTTTCTTTTGTTAATAAGGATCATTTGGGATGCTTGATATTTGGGTTACTATTATGGTTAGGTTCCTTTTGTTTTGATGTTTCTTTTCTGGGTTTTTAGTCTTCTTGAAGGTGGACTTGGGACTTATTTCACACAACTTATTTACTCTTGTCTCCTCACTTATATTTCTTCTATGGTACTTGCATATTTTCTTTTTAATGAATGATTCAGTTCTTTGTGCTCTCGAAATTTAACTTCAGCAATGATCACTATTATTGTCGCTTCTCAGTTTTCGAGGGTCATGTATGGTGAAACATGTTAAGTTCTTGGTGTTTTTATGTAAATTCAGATGAAAGTGAAGTTTAGGATTGGGGGAAATGTAGAAATGAAGATTGGTACTAGGATTTAAAGTTATAAAGCGAAAAATCTGTTGAATGGAGATTTCCTTTTCTGGGTATGCGATAACTGAGGATAAAATATATTTAAAGGACAAAAGAATATAGTTTATAAACCAGGGAGGGTCATGGTAGTGAAGGCATTATCTGCTTCTGATGTCCATATATAAATTTACACATGTCTGCATAAATCTTCTTCTATAGTATAGTGTTGGTTAGGTCCATCAAAGGCACTTAACTTAGTTTTCATTTTAAAATGAACTTTCTGTCTACTCTTGCTAGTTTGCCTTTCCTGAAGATTCTCAGAGCAATAGTTTTTTCAAGGTTGTGTTTCTTTATTCTCAGAGCAATAGTAAAGTTTATCTCAAATTGTGTCTTCTCAGTGCTTTTAAAATATTGCATTTGATAGTGTCATTTGTGGTTCTGTTGCTCTTAGAACTGACAAATGGTACATTGTGGCAGCTTACGCTCAGTTCGGTTCAAGGTTGCCAATGAGTGCTCTGTCTAAATTTAAGGTCAGGCTCTTTTTTTTTACATGTTTGATGATCTAGGAAATTTGTTGTCATAATCTCTAAATGCTTTGAACTGCAGTCTAAAGCCGATGCAGAATTTGCTCTTTTCTTTTTACATATTTGAGGATCTAGGAAGTTTGTTGTCATAATTTCTAGACGCTTTGAATTGCAGCCTAAACACGATGTGAATTTGCTTAAGAAAGATTCCAGCCTTGGTTCTGTGCAATCGGAATCTCAATTATTTCTTAGCTGCCCAACATGGGAGAATTCAACTGAATCACATGCCCAACACTCATCTATATCCCAAAGTCTAAGCCTAAGGATGGGAGTTGCGGCACATCATCGTCATAACACCAAGCAATTGAGTTTTCAATTCCAAGATCAGGATTCATCCTCAACTCAATCAACATGTCAATCTCACCCTGAAGTGGCTAGTGTGAAAGGTAGTAACCTTTGTGAATATGGCTTGGTTTCTACACAATCAGGTTAATCATTGACCATATCTCCACCTTTTGCTTTCTCTTTTTCTTGAACCTTCTGAAACATTTGTGCTTTGATCCCGCTAGATGTTTCTTGTCAATGCTTCTGAGGTTTTTTTGATGATTCTACATGTGTTTATTTTGTTTTGCGTCTATAAGCACCCTTTTGAGAATCGTATTGATCTGCTAACCATAATAAAGGAGATAAGAGTGTGAGGCTATATTTGCAGCTGCTTAAGACTGGATAATAAACATTCATGATGTATAGATTAAATTTATGCCATTGCCATCATATGTAGCACAAAACACGAGTATTTTGTCCAATTAGTTTATAGGTTTACCGTTAATGACATTTTCCTTGCTACGTGCTTCAGTGTAACATTACTGTGATCCAACTACTGATGAATGAGTCAGTGAGTGAGGAGACTGGGCTCGAACAACATCTAATTTTGTGGTCTTGTACTTGCTTAGGGTATAATCAAACCCAGGAGAAGCCCATGGGAGGCCATGGAAAGCAAGTCTCATCGATGGGAACTCAGGACTTTGTGTTCCCTTCACAACTTGATTATAATCAACCAATTGTAAGTTAAAACCTGCGTGCTCTTGCTTGTATTTGGAGTGGATCGAATCTTACAATATCTATTGTCATTTTAGGCTCACATTCCATTCCACTATGCTGAACCGTACTTTGGTGGTTTACTTGCTGCTGCTACTTATGGGCCTCAGACTATGGTAAGTGCTTTAGTGTACTCTCGATTCAGGTTCATTTTATGTGGAATTCTTTTCAAGATTTTTCGTACTTATATTTCGTTGTTGTTGTTGTTGTTCTCCCGAGTTACTTATGTAATGGATTGAAGTAATTATGTTGGTTATTCTCTTCCTTAGAAAGCATGTAAAGATTATAAAGATGTCTGATGGCGCTTCTCTATTTTTCAGTCTATTGCTCAAAATGAGATAGCTCCGAGTATTATAACTGTAATGGTGCAAATAGTACAAAAGGACCTTAATAACATTCTCGGGGAACATGTAATTTTCCCATAACATGTTTCGTATGCTGATTTTGCGGTAACCTTTGCAACCTTGGTCTTGGCAATACAAGCATCAAGAAATTGCTCAGGAAAAACTATGCTCTCTCCTTTTAGTGCATTTTTCTTATCTGCTTGCTTTTATTTATTTAAGAAAGATCCCTATATGTCAACTTTGCATCTCCTTTGCTCTTATTCTTCCTTTTTTTCCCTTATAATATTCTTTCTAGGACAAAAAGCTTTTTCCTTCCTATCTATTAATAGAAAAGCTATTCTTTATGAAAAATTATATTAAACTTCTGTTGCTCTTAATTAAGCTCTTAAGGTTGGAAAGAAAACCCAAAAGTTTGAGAGATATTATATTCTATTTTGAGTGTGGTCTTAACCCTGTCGATTCCACCATCCAGTGCCTTCCATATAGATTCTGATTCCTTTGTTCTTTATTATTTTGTGACCTAGAATTTGTTATTAAAAAAAAAAAATCCAATGATGGTCTGGTTTTCACAAGGATGTATTTTCTCTTTTGTCATCCTATGAGACATCTACTGTTGAAATGCTGCCAGATTCATCATTCACAGTTGGTTGGGATGGCTCCTGCTCGAGTGCCCTTGCCTCTAGATCTTACGGAAGACGAACCTATTTATGTCAATGCAAAACAGTACCGCGCAATTCTAAGGCGGAGACAGTTTCGAGCCAAGCTCGAAGCTCAGAACAAGCTTGTCAAAGCTCGTAAGGTTCGTGCTACCTGGATTTCCCTCTTCTATTTAAATCTACAGTTGCTATGAAGCGCAGTAAATCTTAAAAGAAAAGTTGTTGCGAAACATATGCAGCCATATCTTCATGAATCTAGGCATCTCCATGCATTAAAGCGGGCTAGAGGATCTGGCGGGCGCTTTCTTAACGCAAAGGATGTTCAAGACAGTGACCCCACAGGCGATGCACTGCATGCCTCAGGCTCGGCTCAACATCATCTGACTGGAAACAAGATGGAATCTAAAATTCATCAGCAGAAAAACCACAAAAATTGTTCTTCCTCCACCTCTTTCTCTGAAGTCACTAGTGGCTCCAACAGCGACGGTGTCTTTCAGCAGCAGGAGTTCAGGTTCTCTGGCTACCCCATGCATACTCACTCGGTTGATTCGCGTGGGGGCAGGAACCAACTCCACATCTCGACCCTCGGGTAAGAGATGTGGCCTTCAACAGTTGACACAGCAGTCCGCCGTTTTCGGTGTCCAAACACCAAGCGGGTGGAATTCAGCTGCTGGTGTTCCCTTGGGAAGTCATCCTTGGCTCTTTTACGGTTTACTTTAGTGTTTTTCTTACCATGTCAGCTTAGATTGTTTAACTCAAAAAACATGTTACTTCTACTGGTTGTGGTTTAACCTTAGAATTTGGACAAACACAAGCATGTTTGTGTGAACTATGTTTAGGATTTGGTGTTTGATCACGAGAAAATAAGTGCTTGGCATGTGATAAGAAATTATGTTCCTAGTTGTGATTTGTGATTGACCTTGATCTTAAATGATTTCTGTTCCTAAGAAGATAAATACTTTCCTGTTTGATTGCTGAGAAGAGGGAAAAGAAAGCAACGTATGAAAGCTCTTTCTCTAAAAGTTAAAATGCTAATTCTAAATTCCCAACTGATTGATTCTTTTCCCTCCAATTTAGTTGCTGGCCAAGATTTGTTGAAGTTGTGCTTCCAATTGGTAATGACTTGAAAATAAAGTTTAGAACAGACTTTTTGTTAATTAGGAATGTAAACTCAAACTATTTCTACTCAACACCATCTTCTTGGCCAAAACTCTATAGGGGGTTGGATGGACAAGGTTTTTTTTTAAAAAAAAAAAACTTAATTGGTTTATAATATCATGCTAATAGCTGAAAAGCATTAAAATGTGCCAATGTCTCCGGGTGAAGGACACATGGAGAAGTGAGAATTTTTACTTAAAAGTTAAACCTAGTGGCATAAACATAAAAAAGAATGTGAATGTACCCTTTGAGTTTGGTTAATGGGTGAAATGGAAATATGTGTTGTGTCACTTGTGTCTCTATCGAACTATTTAAGTAAAAATGTTTGTGATTGTGTTGACTTGACTTGTGTATCACGTTTTTAATGAAAGGTTGCCCACTAATGTATTTTAAACAATCTAACTATTTACTTTATTAATGTAATTTATTTGCCAAGTGAATTTTAGCTCATTATTCCTATGTATCTCATATTGTTTTGCATAAAATACATTTATGAAACCGTTTTTTCTTATTCCTACTTTTTTTTTTTAATGATACATAATGCATATTATTTGTGAAACTTAAAGAATCAAGCCAATGTATCAGAAATTAGTCACTCCCGCTCTCACATTGCCGATCCGTTCTTTATTATCATTTTTTTTTTGTTTTTTTAGGGTGATTACATTACCGGATTGCAGATTTATTTATGTAGAAAAGTAAATAAACAATTTTTTTTGTCCCCAAATTTTTTACTCTAGTATTTTCATTCTTGAGTTGTTTTTTTCTTTATCAATTTTAGTCTCTGATTTTTGAAAAGAATAGCAATAGACTCCGACCATTAATGAGAGTTTAGTTTTAGAGAATTTTAGTACTAATTCAAGGGCTAAAAAAATGATTACTTTGAGACTGAACTATCAAATTACAATAAGTTTAAGGGGGCACAAATGCTAATATCATTTGTGATTTTGTATAAATTTTAGAGTTGATTAGTAATTAGAGTTAAATACTATGGTTTTGTAATTTAGAAGATTAAAATAAGTTTAAATTGTTAAAAAAAAAAAAGTTTACAAATATCAGACCAGAAGAAATGCTAGGACATGACTGCCATGTTGAAATATATTTTTTCCTTCAAATCCACGCAAAGTCACTGCCGGCGCACGTTAGCGTAGTCCGTTTACTTTTGTTTTTGTCTTTTTTTTTGGGTTAATTTTTTTAATAATCGGGTAGTCGGACATGTCGCAGTTTTATCAAATACAGTTAAACCCTTCAAGTACAACACCAGATTCAAATCTCCTTAAAAAACGTGCATGAATTCCCAAAAGTACCCCTTCTCCAGACTCCGTTCTCTCTTATTTGCCCTCGCATTCTCTTTCCCCCAAACCCCAAAAGTTAAAAAAAAAAAAA